GAAGGAGCCGTTCACCTTGTCCTCTCCCTCGCCGCGCTGGAGCCGAGCCCCGGGCTGGGGCAGCGCAGGGCGCTCCTGAGCTGCGTGGTTTGGCAACAGCGCGTGGCTCCGGCTCAGGTCGCCCTTTGCAGCGTTGCAAATTCGTTGGGGTTCACTGGGCTTGTAAGCAAGAGCAGAAAGCAGCTTAGGGCTTTCTCCTACTCTCGACGCTCTGCCGTGGAGCAGAGGACCTCAGTGGTACATCTCCTGAGGAAAAAACACATGGAGTGGTTTGTATTTTTGAAGGTGACAAATTTGCACTAAATCAGGATGGATTATCAGCTCTCTCCAATAATTGCATGGTTTTGTATCAAGCACGCATGGCCATAAAGATGTTTTCGGCTTGAGGTTGGTTCTTTTGTTTGTTTGTTTTTTGCTCTGATGCTAGCTTGCATCCCGGAGAGCAAACGCATTGATTCGCTGTCGTGACTTTAATTGCGCTGATCCTCCGCCGAGGCCATTAGCGGGCTGCCGAAAGCTGGGAGGGGGCCGCCGCTTCCGCTGGCTGGTACCACACAATGGGGCGAGCGGGCGGCGGCGGGCAGGCCCCCCCCTGGGCCGCCCGCCCGGCGGGCTCCTGCCGAACTTGCAGACCGTTAAAAAGCCACATCAAACACTATTTCTCCTATTTAAGCTTCTGGACCAAAAGCAGTCCGTGGTGTTGAAACGCCGCCGGGAGCCGGGCGGAGATCACGTAAAGAGTTCGTTAGGGGCGTCCCCAGCCTGCCGGCGACTTTGGGGCTTCTCACATTGCCTACGAGAGAAAACCGGGAGGAAATATAGGCAGCATCCCATCGCTGTGCTTCAGCGTAGCATGGCTGATTTAACCCCCGAGTCACCCAAAGCCAGGCAAACTTGACATTTTTTCCTTACTTTGGAAAAAAGCAATTTGTTTAGTGTTTTTAACCTAGTCACATCATTGCAGCTCTCTGGATCTCCCAGATGCTCAATTTATAAGAAAATAGTCAATGACCTTTATCCATTTCCTTTCAGGCAACCCATAGGTGTAAGAATGGGTGGGGGAATACAGATTTTCTTTAGACAGGCAGGGGAAATAGCATCTTTTCTTCCAGATACCTATTAAAACTAGAATAACTGAAGGGATGTGTCCCAGAAGGTGATCCCAGCCAGAGGACTCGGCTTCCAGCCTGCTTCGTGCCTGCGGCAGGGTTGATCTCTAACTCGCAGTCCTTTACGGATCCCTTTTTACAAAGGCTGAAGTCAGAATAATCAGGCTGAATCTCAGAATATGTTTCCTGATAGAGGATGCTAACGCTACGGAAAAGGCCCAGACTTTTCAGCATGGGCCAATATCTGAATTTTAAAAGCAGGGCAGGAAGAAACGC